GGGGTCATTATGATCCGCTATATAACAGAGAAGTTTTTGACAAAATATTGGATATGTACCTCTAAGCTGTAAATAGTCAGAGGCATTAGTCCAAAGTGCTCTGCTCATTCCAATAATAATCTGCTCGGTGTTAGAAATTACCAATTTCGGAGAAAATGAAACAGACGCCAAGTTCCGTGCCCTACCCTTGACTCTTCATTCACTGGAAACATCTGAAGTTGCTGAACTACCAGAAACATCTGTAGTTCTGTGGTTATTTACTGTCTGTAGACGTACAGGTGACCGACAGAAAGTCTCTGTGTTTTTGCCGTGTTAACTGAGTAAGTGGAGGCGAGGGTTGGCAGACGACAAGGCCAGCCGTGTTACCGTGACGGCCGCCGACTGTCTGCCATGGCCAGTACCGATCTTCTCTCTCCAAGTTGGGCAAGTAGATGTTCAGGCTTCGACTTACTTCTGACGTGGTTTTAGGCGTTTTATCGGGCTTTTTTTCTGTTCTGGCATTGTACAGCCAAATGGATACTGCGACTGCCAATGCTACTGTCTTGCCAATCTAAATCTCGCAGGCTATTCTTTTTTTTTTCTTTATTTCTTTATTTCAGGCATAACTCGCCCATATACAACATACATATAAAATACACACACAATTACATCAGTAAAAGACCTGCTTGAAGATTACGACAATCTATCACCGGAACGTAAAATTTTAGTTATAAGTAATCAAACCAAAGACTTCCTTGTGGCCGGCTTTCATAACAATTAAACGTTGGCAGAAAAAACACACTTTGACTTGGAGGACTGACCGATGTATTCAACTCTCTTAGTTTTTTCATAATCGACAGGACAATCGGCTGATGGTCGTTAGGTGATGATGTCACCTTTAGAAGATAATCAGAAAAGCATAATACTAGGGTTTCTAAACCCATGTGTCAGCAGCAGCATCTGTCCTACACGCAAACAACAACATCTCTTTAAAACTGCTGAACGGTTTTTTTTTCCTATCCTGTCCCAAAATCAGGCCCACGACATTGCTCCTGGCCTTGCACCGGAAATTCCAGCCCAGCTTCAAAGTCAGCCCGTCTGACACCGATCTATTCTCCAGACCAACACGCTTACAGATTAAGACACAAAACCGGGCGGCAAGGAGAACTCCCTACTAAGATTTAATATTGTATTTTATTACATCAGACCTTGGACAGTGCCTTCGTTGTGACTAACACGTGTTGTTAACAGTTTGAGTAAGGGAGAAGGCTCTTGGCCAGGACTACCCATCGAGCAAGTACGCCTCAGAAAACCACATTTCAGCATGTTCTATACTGGCAGAATGAAAGAATGACAGATTTGATATTTCAAAGTTCGCTCCATGCATTGATTAATTCGCATATTTGTTCATGTTGCATTTATTCCTTCTTGGCAAAAGACGTGAGCAAATACTTTTAGTTATTATTAGGTCTTAAGGTTTCAGATCAATGTTGATATTGTTGTCGTTTTTGCAGTATTTTAAGCAGCACATACGCAATTTGTCAAAAAGTAAAAAATAGCCCCTTCAGCCTTTCAGGAAAGAATCTCTCAGAAAGAAAGGAAAGGAAAGGGGTTCCATTAGTCTCATTCATTGATCTGTCGTTCCTGTTCTGCCTTGGTTGTTGCTTTGTGTTTTGATGTTGAGAAAAAGAATAGACGTTCAAAATGTATTAACAGGATCAGCAAAAAATTACAATAACGAATAGACCAAGTCACCGAGGTATGCACTTTTCGCTTTCTTCTTGTTTGAATGTTTCACCAGTTGATAACAGGTAAAACTCCGTAACGTGTTTCGCGGTTTCATGGCGGATTGTACATGTGACCCACCGGACCAGAGAATTACACATTTGTAAACAGCGTAAAGCGATATCCTTGCTTAGTCTATGATTAACGAACACCGCAAGTGTATTGTGGTGCGTGATGTTGTAAGCAGCTTTCAACACTCGACATCAGCGATTTTTAACATATTTCTGGCTGGTTCGAATATTGCATATGAGGTAGAGGGAGGAGAGAAAGAGAGAGAGAGAGAAAGAGAGAGAGAGAGAGAGAGAGAGAGCCTCTAGCCTTGGGCCGAGAGAGAGAAGGGGTACTTAAATGGAGTTGGAAACACGAATCAAAGAAAAGGAATAAAGAGAGAGAGATAAAGGAAGAGAAAAGGGCGGTTATAGAAAGTTGTGTTGAGACCACAATGACCAGCTAAAGTTGCAGAGAGAGAGAGAGAGAGAGGGGGAGAGAGAGAGATAGATAGATGTATTATGGCAACACTTCTTAGCGTATAGGTTCGTAACTTACATAGATTACATCAACCTGACCTTTATTCTTGAATTCTGACGCACAAATCAAAAGTGAAAAAGCACTTGTACATAGAATACTCTACCGCGTTATGGTTACTCAAATGATCATAAATAACACGCTGTATGGTGCTGGCACATTATGAAGCAGATATATAGTTTATTTGACGGCACAGTTCCTGGGACAAAAGGTGCGGTGGGACAATTGCAGGTGTGGGGCGAAAACTGCAAACATTGTGAAGAATGGAGCCGTCTAGACTGGAACTGAACAAGTTGGCGAACACCCAGGAAAAACAGTGCATTTACTGGCACAAGAAAACACTATGTGGTCATATTTAACGTTACCTTTGCCAAGAAGGTTATGTTATGGGGAGCGTACGCGTGTGTGTGTGTGTGAACTCTAGTTTCGCCCATTTATGCACGCACGCTAACGAACACACACACACACACACACACACACACACACACACACACACACACACACAATCTACGCACACACACATCCACTAACACAAATGCACACACACAGTTAGACATACATAAATACATACACACACACACACACACACACACACACACACATATTCACACATGCGCGCACACACACACAGAAGTAATACACACAAATAAACATACACGAACATGCATGCATACACACACACAGAAACACACATACACACAAAACACACACACACACACACACACACACAAACAAACAAACACACACACACACACATGCGCGCACACACACACAGAAGTAACACACAAATAAACATACACGAACATGCATGCATACACACACACACACAGAAACACACATACACACAAAACATACACACAAACACACACACACACACACACACA